AATAAGCATTGAACTGGCTGGTTATAACATTTTTTTCCCTCAGGTCTATAGTAGACACCTGTTCTTTTCATATGCTTCCAGAAAGGAAGACGCTGGCATCTCATTCCTTTTTCATCAACCCACACTATTCTTATTTCCTCAATATAGGCTCCAGTGTAGGGCAATAAATATACTTGTGACATCTTGTACCAGAACTGAGTTGAGAAATTTCTCAGAATCTTCCCTGTTGGTACCACAATCCTTGAGGCACAGGAAGACTCTTCTTACTGTTCTAGGACCCCCTGTCTTCAAAGTTTTCTCTTGGTTAGATACGTACATATTTCCCCGGGGGCTGCATAATCAGAAACACCACACACACACACACACACACACACACACACACACACACACACACACTCATTTTGCAAACAACTGCTCTTAAAAGCGAAAGCAGACACCAGCACTCCAGTAACCGAATCTCCTGGTGAAGTTTCGCAGGAACTTTGTCAAGCAACATCCTCTACCTGAGGACTCAAGCTGTCTCTTGTACCATGGAGAGGCACAGCTGCGTCATATGCTATACTTATTTACTTGATTATTTATTTGTTTGTTTGAGGAATTTCTATATTGATTTCCAGAGTGGCTAGATGTTTTGTTGCTAGGGTTTTCATTCACTATGCTTTTCTTTTTTATGTTGTTGCTGGTTGGAATGTTGGCAGTATTTTTCTTCCTTCTGTGTGAGAATTAGTGATTTGCTGTCTTGTCCATGGATGATTACTTCCCATTTCTCCTGCACTTATCTATTCTTCACATGAAATGTGTTATTTCCCATGTTGTCATGGATGATTCCTCTGACTCTCCTATAACAATAAACAGCACACTTGATGAGGGTATAGGTAACTATTTATTGTAGAAGTTACTTACAAGAGAAAACTGGCAACCAAGGAGAGTCAGAAGATATATGGGGGTGTGTGTGTGTGTGTGTGTGTGTGTGTGTGTGTGTGTGTATTTTGCTGGCCTGCTTTGTTGAAAGGAACTGTCTAACTACACTTACGTCTCCATTTATTTTAAGATAGAATTTTTCTGGATGCAACAATACGGTTGACAGTGATTTTCTTCCCAAGCTTCAAATGTCATTCCATATTCTCCTGTCTTTGGGATCACTGGCTAGACACCTGTTCTGTTTCTTGGATCGTGTTCTGTTTCTTGGGTCTTTTCAAGTATTTTGACATTTTTCTTTAACACCTTTTGGTACTAGTTTTTGCTTTTTCTTTTTGACCCCTTATATGAAAGAACAGAAAACCATCAAATCATTCTTCCTGAAAGAGAAACTAAAAAAGGAGAAACAGTAAGAAATAGTTGATTCTCCAGTTAATCTAAGAAAGGAGAAACAGAAAGAAATGGTTGATTCTCCAGTTAATCTGAGAAAGGAGAAACAGAAAGAAATGGTTGATTCTCCAGTTAATCTGAGAAAGGAGAAACAGTAAGAAATGGTTGATTCTCCAGTTAATCTGTCCCAGGTTAGTGGTCATGTGCCCCCCTTTTTTTGTAGAAATGTTATACATTGAGACATTGGAGGCCTTTAATTTTCTGGTTGTTTTAGGGTCTTTTGTTGTTTTTTTTAACTTTATTATGAAAAAACTTGCAAACAAGCAGACAAAAACAGTTGCACACTGAAATTCACCAGACCCAAAGAGTATACATCTTTGTATCTTTATACAATTAGAGTCATCATTGGGAACAGGAGCTCTAGAGCCTTTCACGGAATTTTATATTTTTGTTATCGAGTATATTTTTGCGAATTTGTCTACCATCAAAAAGAAAAAAACTGTGACAGAATTAGAATTAGAAAATAGCTTTATATCATTTTTCATAACTGGTTTTCATTACCTAAATTCAGTCCTACCTCAACCCTGATATTAAACATTTCTTGTTCTCTTTTCTCCATATTCTGCTGTGCCCGCATGTACATTGTTTCCATGTACACTGACTGTTGGCCAGATTCAGCATATGAGGGAAAATGTGGTTTTTTCCTTCTGACACTGTATAATAATCTCACTCAATATTACATATTTCAAGTGCTTCCATTTTCCTTCAGATTTTTATTACATTTTCTCTTCAGCTGAATAGTATTCCTATATATACCATTGCACTATCCATTCATCTGTTGATAGACAGGTTGGTTACAGTTCTTTCCTATAGTGAATGATCCAGCAATAAATATGGGGTATAAATATCACTGTATTGGTGTGTGGAGTACCGTAGGTATATGCACAGGAGTGAAAGAACTGAGTCTTACATTAGTTCTATCTTCAATTTTTTTCAATAATCTCCAAGCTGATTCCCACAATGGGTGTGTTGATTTACACGTACCCCCCCCACACACACCACACACCAACACTTAATGAGGGTTCCTTCCTCTAGGGTAAGGCACTATTTCAAAGAACTTAATGGTTATAAGAAGCGCATATTGAAACACAGGGAATAGTTGTCAAAACAGCTTAGCAATGTGTAGAATTAAAAGAGACATATTGATGAGGGAAGTCCATATATATATATATATATGTTTGTCTTATATATATATATATGTTTGTCTTATATATATATATATATATATGTTTGTCTTATTGGTTGATGAATAAAGCACTGTTGGCCAATAGCGAAGAAAGATAGGTGGGACTAGGAGAGGTGGAGGATTCTGGGAAACGGAGCCACAGTCAGTCACCATGTAGGACGCCAGAGGAGTAAGAGGTCTGGACCCTTTTGCTGGTAAGAGAAGACACACAGAAATACTCAGATTAGCAGTTATAGATTAATAAGTAAGTCAGAGGTAGCCAACAAGAAACCATAGCAAACGACCAACAGCTTCATAATTGATATAGTGTCCTGTGTGTTCATTTGGAACTGACGAGGCTCTGGGACCATGCTGGTGGGAAGAATCTCATTACAACACATCTTGATTTTTAATGTTATATAATACTTGGTTCCTACTACTAAAAATTGAAGCATACTAGACAGTGCAGAACATGGATTGATCTTACCATGAAACTGATGTACTTGAGTGTATATTCAGATTGCAGTCTACTTGTATTTCTCTTTGGTATTTAATATCACAATAGTGATAGTGTGTCCATGTATTTGTTGACACCAGCCATCCGTTTCTCTTAGGAGAATTGCTGTTCACATCACTCACTTGGTTAGGATACTCAGTAATAACTTCTCAAATTAGAGAGATCACTTTTTTGTTGTTTTGTTGTGTTTTATTTTTTAAGACAAGGTTTCTCTTGTAGCCCTGACTCTCCTTGAACTTGCTCTGTAGATGAGGCTGGCCTTGAACTCACAGAGATGCACATGGCTCTGCCTCCTGAGTTCTAGCACTAAAGGCATATGCAACCATGCCTGGGCTAACCTGAGATCATTTTATTTCTCTTTTTCTTCTAGCCCCAAAGAGGATCCCACTGTGCAGCCCATTCTGACTGGGACTCACTATGTAGCATTATGTGGAATGTATCAGTAAAAATGTCTGAAGACAACGTGTGTTGGTGGTGCACGCCTTTAATCCCAGCACTCAGGAGGCAGAGGCAGGCAGGTGGATCTTTGTGAGTTCGAAGCCAGTCTGGTCTACAGAGCGAGTTCTAGGACAGGCTCCAAAACAATACAGAGAAACCCTGTCTCAAAAAACCAAAACCAAAAAAAAAAAAAAAAAAGTCTGAAGACATTGGTTGGTTGGTTGATTGATTGATTGATATGCAGAAGCCATCACATTTGATACAGAAAGAACATTCTTCATGATTGCCTTGCTCTAATCAGTTCCTGTGAGAGTCATGGCTCTACTCCTTCACCCTGAAGCTGCAGTGTTTTAAAGTTGAGATTTGGGGAATGGACTCTTACCGCAGGTTTGTCTTTCTATCCCTGACCTATGACTCAGACAGAATATGTCACCATTTTCCATTTCCAAAGTAATAAAGGAAGACTTATGAACACTACTAAGGAAAACTCTGTTACACAGAACAGCATAAGTACTAAAAGGGATACATTGAGGACTAAAAAATTCAGAGATAATAGCTCAAATTTTCTCCTGAACCATTCTTCTGAGCTATATTACATTTGCAAAGCACTGAAAGATGACAGTAATTCTCACAGAATTTAATATATTCATTTACTCACAGGAAATCTATGTCACTTCCAGAAGCATCCACAGTTACTGCACTTATGCTAAACTGCGACTTAAACACTATTTGATGTGGCTTTGGGCTTCCCTCAATTTTTATAACTCTTTGAGAATGAAATGTTCTTCTGAAATTGGTATTTCTCTAGGTTGCACTATTCCTATTTGTTAAGAAAATTTTAGATTATGTCAAATTGACTGATGTGGATTTTTCTATCTGATTGGTTGTGCCTCAAATATTTTTATAAAAGTAATTCCATAGACTACTTGATCTTATATTTTAATGTTAAAATTGATGGTATACAGTAATGTTATACTCCTTGTTACTGTGGGGAAAAAACAAAATTCTTTGCCTGTAATACCAGTCATGAATTCTGTCTTCCATATGTACCGCTTTTCTCTTTAAGGGAATGGCATTAGACCTAGAGTGTAACCATATGCACCCAACATCTTAGGACAATCACAGAAGTCTGAAAAGTGCACAGAGTTGATTCAGTGTCCGTATTTTAGTGTGATCTACAGGTACAGCATTTGAAGCACAGTTCCTCATCACCATTTCCCTTCTGAGACATATATGCTGTGATCCTGTGGGATATAAACACAGCATCTATACCAGATAGATGACTGTCCAGACCTTAAGTGTGTGTTGTTTTGTGTTTATTACCTGTAAGACTATTGTGTCATGCTGATTTCAGAGACTTTGAACATTCATGATAGAATGTGACTAAGTCAGAAATCATCACTCTAACTAATGTTCTTCGTTCATCTACATTCCTAATTTCCTCAAGTCTCCTTACATCCAGGAACAGACTCTTTCTGGTATCATGTGATCAAACTGTACTTTTTGTTTCAGAATCTGCTGACATTCAGGGATGTGTCTGTGGACTTCTCCCGGGAGGAGTGGGAATGCCTGGACTCTGCTCAGAGGGCTTTGTACATTGATGTGATGATGGAGAATTACAGCAACCTCCTCTCTGTGGGTGAGAACATTTTGCTCGTAGACCCCTAACTCAGGCTCTGTATGCACCTACTTTATAGGTTGTGAGCTCTGTTAAGCTGTCTTGGAAACAACTATGGACAGTTTGGTAGTAAAAAAGAACTTTTTTGTGGAATTTGACTTTTCTTTCCATTTTCCATGTTAGAGGTATCCTATATCCCTCATTTTGGTTCCAAAATGCATTCAGAAACTCAGTAGCATATACAGTTTCCATACATATCTCAAAGCTCGAAGTCCATAATTGTACTTGACTTGATTTTGTGAGAAAGAACTCAAGCTATGTGAACTAAAAATTCTCCCTAAATATGCTGAAGATTCTGAAGGAAAGGCAATTGGAAAATCATTCCTAGATGCCTCTATTTTGTGATCCTTCATGTACTAAGCCCAGTACTGTTACATGTCTGTACTCTTTCTAAAAATTCTAGCATATGTCATGGGCTACTTCACAGAACACTTGGATTATTATATGCAAGGTAGACACAGTCAGCTGTCTAGAGCAAATGCGGATTGCCCTGGAATGTGGAAAAGAGAGAGTAGCCACAACCAGGGTGGGCTAGCGAATTAGCGGAACAACAGTGATGGCTTCAAGTGAAAGAGAAAACAAGAGCTGAGAATGTTTTTGCTAGGTTCAATTCCACTTGGAAGGATTCCTGATCATTTAATTTAGTGTAGTGTCCTGACCCCAGGATGCATCCTGTCTGTTGTAACTCTTATAAGATGTTGTGTCTTATTACACCTGAATTATGGAGACTTAATACTGGCACAAAATGCAATTTTATTTGACTAAGCTTACATCAGATTAGAATACTTTTACAAACTTTAAGTCTAACATGAGCCCATGAAGTAGGATTGTTCTGTAATTGCCTTCCTTGCTGTGTGTCTTCATATTACCTGCTTCATTTTGTTCCCAGTGGAGAACACATAGGCTTGCTTCTGGAAAATAATCTCAGGAGTCAGTGTACAGAGTGGACTTGAGAACAACCCTGTGAGGAAAGTTAAGAGCACAGCAGTGTGTGGAGCTGAGACAGTGGAGGATAGAAATGAGCAAGGGCTGCCCGTGACATCTCTGCCTCACATGATGTAGAACTTCTGATGTCTGGCAGAATACTCTCTTTGCACCATTACTTTTGAAGAATCTAATGTGTTTTTCTAGAGAAAGAAATAAATGCTTTTTTTTTCATTTTTTATTTCATTTTACATTCTAATCACAGTTCTCCCTCCCACTCCTCCTTCTGTCTGCCACCCCCCCCCCCGCCGTGATGCTTTTAAATAAAACTTTAATCTTTAAAGGAATTGGGTCTTCTGAACAGTACTCCTCATTGCCTATCACTTATTAAGTACAAACACTGTGAACCTGGGATTGGATTAAACTCCTCTTCATCAATGTCTGAGCAGTAATATTTTTAAATGGAGACATGTGTTCTAAATATAATAAGTCAGTGAACTCCTTCCCAGAATTAATCACTGATTCCTCAATTCATGATCCACCCTGTGCCATTAGACATTTCGACAAAGATGAGATATTTGTTATATCATAGATCCTTGACAGCTATCGGGTTGTTTTTATGAAAATACATAAAATTACAGTAAAAGAAAAAATATCAAAGTACTTGCTGGTTGACTTACATTAAGAGAGAGCTTAGGGAGACAGTCATCAAATGTTTAGTCTTGGAACAAGCCTTATTAATAATCCCTTACTAATTTTCAGAGAACTATTACATACATGATCGTGTCCATCACCATGTGAAGACTGAAAAGGAGTCTTGTCAGTGTGATGAGCTTGACAAAGTGCTTCATGACCCCTCCACATGTGCACTTCATAGAACAAGTGAATCTACAGAAAACTCTAATAACTACACATGCAGTAGTCACAGGGATGCCTCTGTTGACTCATCAAACCCAGACAGACATGAAAGCATGCGCACTGGAGAAGAACCTTGTCAATCTAAAGACTGTGAGAAATCTGTAAATTTGTGTTCCAACATTACTCAAGATCACAGAGTCTACACTGCAGAGAAAGAACACAGGCAGGGAGAATATGGTGACTGCTTTGACTCTACATACAATCATTTGCAACAAAAAATTTCCTTTGGGGAGAAACCACACCAATGTGGGAAATGTGGGAAATACTTCAGTGCTGCCTCAAGCCTCACTGTACATAAGAGAATACATACTGGAGAGAAACCTTACAAATGTGGAGAATGTGGCAAATCCTTTAACCATCGATCAAATCTTAGAACACACCAGAGAGTACACACTGGAGAAAGACCTTACAGTTGTAAGGACTGTGACAAGTCTTTTACTATATACTCATATCTTGCAGCACATCAGATAACTCATACTGGAGAGAAACCCTACAAATGTGCAGAATGTGACAAATCCTTTATCCAGCGTTCAAAACTTAGAATACATGAGAGAGTCCACACTGGAGAGAGACCTTACATGTGTAAGGAATGTGACAAATCTTTTACTATGTACTCATATCTTGCAGCACATCAGATAATCCATACTGGAGAGAAACCCTACAAATGCAAAGACTGTGACATGTCCTTTCTCTGGATTTCTACTCTTAGAATACATCAGAAAATTCACACTGGAGAGAAACCTTACAAATGCAAAGACTGTGACATGTCCTTTAATCGGTTTTCAAATCTTAGAAGGCATCACAAACTTCATACTGGAGAGAAACCTTACAAATGTGCAGAATGTGATAAGTTCTTTACCCACAAGTCAAATCTTAGAACACATAAGAGAGTTCACACTGGAGAGAGACCTTACAGTTGCAAGGAATGTGACAAATCCTTTACTAGGTGGTCCAACCTCAGAGCACATGAGAAAATTCATACTGGAGAGAAACCCTACAAATGCAAAGACTGTGACATGTCCTATATCCACCTTTCCAGTCTTAGAAGACATCAGAGAGTTCACACTGGAGAGAAAAATACCATTCTCATAATGTGACATAGCATTTTTTTTCAGTATTCTCTGCTTATAAATCCCAACAGTCTACATCATGTGTTACGGGATACATTCTTGTATACTATGAAGATGTGTCTTTGCCAATGTACCATCTAATAGATTTAATAAAAAGCTGAATGGCCAGTGGCTAGGCAGGAGAAAATAGACAGAACTCAGAAGAGAGAGGAACTTGGAATGAATCTGGTGTGGTAGGAGATGCTGGCAAGACATGGGAGGAGTTCAACATACAGAATGGAGGAGAGGTAAAGAGCCAATTGGCAAAACCAAGGTTAATAGAACATGTGTTACTTTAAGATATAAGAGCAGGTTGGGAACAATCCTAAGCTCTATAGAGGCCGGCCAAGTTTTCATGATAAGTCTTTGTGTCATTCTTTGGGGGCTGGGGGTCCAAAGAAAGTCCAACAAGAAAGACAAGCTAAAATAATAGAAATGTAAAGATAAGAAACATGACCAAGCCTGTAATGAAGGTTTAAATCTTAGAAACTATCACAGAGTTTATATTTTTTAAAAATTCTATTGGCGGGGCATTGGTGGCACTCACCTTTAATCCCAGCACTCGGGAGGCAGAGGCAGGTAGATCTTTGTGAGTTCGAGGACAGACGGAACGAATGCCAGGATTGGCTCCAAAGCTACACAGAGACCCTGTCTAGAAAAACCAAAAAAAAAAAAAAAGTAACTGAATTTTTAAAATATATATGGGTGCTTTGTCCAATGTGTAAAGAGTTGTGTTGCAACTCTTTTCTGTATGCTGCTTGCTTTCTAGGTGCCTGTGAATGCCATCAGAGGTCATTAGATTCTCTGAGGCTATAGTTGCAGTTGTGAGCTCCTATGTGTGTTAGAAATTAAACTCCAGTCCTCTGGAAGAAGAACCAGTACTCTTAACTGCTACACCTTTAATCCTGGCATTTAAGAGGCAGAGACAGGTGGATACCTGTGAGTTTGAGGCCAGCCTAGTGTACACAGCTAGTTCAAGGACCGCCAAGGCTGTTACATAGTGAATCTTTTCTCAAAAAAGCAGCAAAAAAATTGTTCAACATTCAAGAATTTATGATAAAGACAGGCTATGTGGTGCATGCCTTTAATTCAGGAGGCAGAGACAAGAAGAATTCTGTGAGTTTGAGGCTGTTCTGGTCTACATAGTGAGTTCTGGAACCACCAGGAATACATAGACCCTGTCTTGAAATAAATAAAATAAATCATAATAAGGAAAAAATGTAGTAACACTAAAAATGTGATAAAGACCTCTAATTATTCCTAATGATTGACATTGTATCTAGGGTGTGATGAAGGCTTAAAGGAGTCCCAGTCTGCATTCCCCGGAGAGGTATATATCTTTTTCTTTCTTCTGGTCTTAGTTTGGGTTTGTTGTTGTGTGTTCATTGTTTTCTTTTGCTTTTTTATGTTTTTAATCTTGTATTTATTAGAACATTTCTCCTCTCGCTTTCCTCCTGACAAATCCTTCCATATACCCTCCTTGCTAACTTTCAAATTCATGGCATCTTTTCCTTAAGTGTTTTTGCATAAGTATATATGTATACATATATATTTGTAAGCCTACTCAACACATATGTTACTAATATGCATGTTTTCAATGCTGACTGTTTGATACTCAATAACCAGTTGGTGTGTGTAGCAGGTTCTAATAGGTATTAATAATAATAACCCAGAGTCCCATATCAAGGTAAATGCTGAAAGATCAGAGAAGTAAAGGCACCAGCCACTAGAGAGACTTCTTACTTCTACTGAATCCTCAAACCAAATAGGCAATCCCGTCTCTAGGAATCCACAGACTGAATGCCATGAACTCCTGTCTTAAATTCCTCGCTCCATCCAGCCATATCACTCCTGTCTCCACCTACCTAGTGTGGGGATTAAAATCTTGTGACTCACAAGTGCTGGGATTAAAGGTGTGAGCCACTACTGCCTGGCTTTCTTTCTCTTTTAGACTGGATCCATCTCCTGTAGCCTAGGGTGACCCGGAACTCTACCTTCTGAGTGCTGAGATTAAAGGTGAGTGCCACCATTGCCCGGAATCTATGGCTAACTAGTGTGGCCAGCTCCTCACTCTGATCTTCAGGCAAGCTTTATTTGTTAGATCAAACAGAATATCACCACATGTGCGATCTTCTCTGGGGCAGACTGTTTCTTCTCCTCCCAGCATCCTCTAGTTGCCTGTGTAGGATTGAGGCATTGTGGGCCCTCCTCATCCTTTTCGGCATCTCCATTGTTCTTTGTCCAGCTCAGGTTTGGGAGGTCATGTTGGTGAGATTATAGACATAGCTTCTGGCATTGCTAGGTGTGATGGTTATTCTTGGTTATCAACTTGAGTGCATCTCGAATGAGTTATGATTCAAAAGTGGAGGACACACCGGAGAGATTAGTTTTGCTTGTTTTGAAGTGACTAAATCCACTTGTAGTCTAGCACTGTGAGGCAGGAAGACAAATACCATTCCACATTTTGAGGCTAAAGGACACACACCTTTGATCAGGATCCAGAGGCTGGAAGCCTATATAAGAAAATGGAACTAGGAATCATTTTGCTCACTGCCTGCTTGTTGGCTCATTTCCTTGGTAGCACAGTCATTCCTTCACTGACATTGGATTCTGCTTCTTTGAGATTCCAGCATATACTGAAAACCAGCTGAGACATCCAGCCTTGTGGACTAAGCAACTACTGGATTGTTGGACTTTCTATTACAGCCAGCCATTGTTGGATTAACTGGACAGCAGCCTGTCAGTCATTCCAGTAAAGTGTGTGTGTGTGTGTGTGTGTGTGTGTGTGTGTGTGTCTATCAGTTCTGTTGATGGGAATGTCCTTCTGTATATATGTTTCTCTTATTGGTTGATGAATAAAACACTTTTTGGCCAATAGAGGCAGGAAGATAAGTGGGACTAGGAGACGAGAAGAATTCTGGAAAAGGTAGGCAGAGAGAGACCTCGAGGAGACACCATGTAGCAGAGGAAGACATAACAGATTCGGACTCTTCTCCAGTAAGATAAGACCACGTGGAAATACTTAGATTTATAGTAATGGGTTAATAATTAAGACAGAGATAGACAATAAGAAGCCCTAGCCATGGGCCCAGAGTTTAATAATTAACACAGCATCCCTATGTGTTCATTTGGGGCTGAAGAGACGGGACCTGGCAGCACAAGAAACTCCAGCAACAATTCTATTAGTCTAGAGAATCATGACTAGTATACTAGGAGATACAAATTCCCTGATCCACTGCCTCTTGTAATCTTTATACTCTTAAAAAGCTAGTTCTAGGACTGCCAGGGTTACACAGAGAAACCCTATCACAAAAGAAAAAAATCTGCTACTAACTATTTCATACACACATACATGTATTCACACGGTCTATGCATTTGTGCCCAGGACCTCAAATACTGCCCACTCTCACCTCCTACCTCTACTGTTCTGGTCCACAATTCCAAAATTCCTTTGGGAATCCCCAGAGGTTAACTAGGGCCATCTGTGAGACTGTGGGTTTGGAGCTGTGTGTTGGAGCCTGCTGGGCTCAGCAGAGGACTGCAGCTAAAGGCAGTGACTCTTCTACAATCCATCCATAGACAACATTTGAGAGTTAAGGGTGGGGCCCTGTGAGCCTTTCCCTTTCCTAGACTGACTGTGTCTAGTGTGAGGTCAGTGCAGGTCAGTACCGTTGCTGTTGGTTACTGATCACAACAGCTGTGTGGAGTCTACAGAATGACATGTCTGAGCCGGTCCTCCTCCCTTCTTACTCCTTTCCTCCTCCTCTTCCTCAGTGTTCCCAGAACCACTGACTTTTTGTAGGGCCGATACCAGATACCTTCCTTATTTTCTGCATCTGGGACAGCAAGACTCTCTGCACTCACCATTTCATTTTTATAAAATCCTGCATTTTATCTAAACAGCACTTTTAGCATGAGTTACAGAAGCTTAACTTAGAGGTTTCTGAGTTAGTAAAATAACAAGGCCCCCATCTGGTGGTGACCACTGACTTCTGGAGACACCGAGTTCTCTTCAGAATCCAGGCTCCTGAAATGTCTCCCCTCCCCCCCCCCCAGGTACAACTGCAGTATTTGGCTTTGGTTTGTTTGGTTTTGTTGTTTTCTTTTTCTTTTTTTTCTTTTTTCTTTTTTTCTTTTCTTCTTCTTTGGCGATGGGACGCCGGCATCTCAATTTAGCCTGTGATCATGCTGTTAGGGATTTAGCTCAGTGGTAGAGCGCTTGCCTAGCAAGCGCAAGGCCCTGGGTTCTGTCCTCAGCTCTGGAAAAAAAAGACAAAAATAACAAAAAGACCAAAAAAAAAAAATGTAACTAGCCTGTGATTATTCTAAGCATGTAGCCCGGGAGTCTAGTAGTCAAGCAGTTTAGGCTGCTTGTCTTCTCTGAAGGTTTCAGAACTCACTGTGGGGTCAGATCCCGGGGTGCAGCGTCCTCCCGGATGCAGCTCTGGTCTAGGCTGCAGCAAGCGCGTGTGGAGTCTGTGCAGAGCGGGTCCAGGGCAGCCTGACAGCTGCAGCCCTGGGGAAGGCGGGGGAGACCGAGAGGGAGGGCCGTGGGGGCGGGGACACGAAACCGGAAGCAGCGATGGGGGGTGTTGAAGTTTAGGTGAAGTGGGAGGTGTTAAGTTGGTGACGTAACGGAAGCGGGGAAACCTAATGAGAGAGGACCAGGAAGTGAACTGCGGAGCCTCAGCCGGCAGTGACAAGTGCCCGTTCCCTGTCGTTGCCCCGGGTCCCGCACCGTGGGAACCGCGCGCTGCAGACCCGGGTGCGGGGGACGCGGCGGGCGCCGCGGGGACCTGGAGACTCCGGAGCCGCAGTGTCCGCGCGGGGCGGGCGGCCTGGGAAAGTCAGCGTCAGCAGCAGCGCAGTGGCGGGAACCGCAGCCCGGCGGCCCTGGAACCTCCCAGGTCAGAGGAGCGGCGGGGCTGGGACCCGGGAGGGGAGGGGACCGGGGTGCGAGCGGTTTCTCTGTGGCTCATCCGGAAGCCGGCTCCCTAATTCTGATGTGGGTGTCTTGCTCTTGTTGATAAATTTTCGATCATAATAACTGGACTAATACTGATTTTTTTTGCCATTGATCTTCTGATTGCCAAATATTCTCATAAAAATAATCTAATAGAATATTTGAATTTATGCGTTGATGCTTGCAAACACGGTTATCTTTGCTAAAGTGGAAAGGACAAAGCCTTCGAATTTACATCACGCTAACATTCGTGTTAAACCACTTCGTTATTCAAAAGAATGGCTCATAGGACTAAGGATTTGGTATTCCCAGAAAGTTTTTATATATTAGACATGAAATGAAAACCTACAAATATCATTAAATCCGAAATTATATTTTTGGGGGGAGTCCCATCGGTATGAATGTAAACATTAACGTTTAAAAGTAAGCTTTTTATCCGACATTAAAATTTTCGTCTGACATGTACACACTCTGTGGTGTATTTAGAGCATTGTGAAAAATGTCTTTGGCAAGCTTGGTGCCACACACCTTGAGTCATACCACTGGGGGAGGTAGAGGCAGATGGAGCTCAGTGAGTTGATGCCAGTCTGGTCTACCTAATGAGTTCCAGGGCAGCCACAGCTTCACGGTGAGACACTGTCTCAAGAAAAGAAAAAAAGGACAAAGAAATATGTGTTTTTAATGTGCAGCTTAGAGCCTGCAGAAGCACAATATGCTTTTTTACAGTATGAGGTCACAGTATTTTCACAGTTAGAAAAGGCATTATAAACCACATAGTGGTGGTGGCACACCATTTTAATCCCAGCATTTGAGAAGCAGAGGCAGGTGGATTTGGGAGTTCCTTGCCAGCCTGGTCTACAGAGGGAGTTTACAGACAGTGAAAGGGAGAAGAAAAAAGAAATGAAAGGATATTATTTTATAGGATAGTATTAGAAAGCATGTTTTGAATAATTATAATGACTCATCTACATCAGAAAAATGGTTAGAGGAATCTTTTCTCTCCTTGGTCAAAGAAAAGGACTCTGTCCAGGAACACATGACCAAACTGTTGTTATTATTATTTTTTTGGCTCTTGTGTTTGCTATGTTTGTGTCCTGAATTCATTGTATTACTCTGTCTGGACTGAAATTTACAGATTTACACCCACCTCTGTCTCCCAAGAACTGAGATTAAAGGTGTGCATCGACACAACTCTTCAAACTGCAGAGTTTTCTTTTGTGGTCTGTTGACAGCCAGTGATTGACTGTGGACTTCTCCCAGGAGAATACCTGGACTCTGCCCTGAGGGCTTTGTACAGAGACTGGATGTTGCAGACTTCCATCAGTCTGTTCTGTGGTTGAGAATACTTTGCTTCAATAGTTTGCTTACAGTCTCCCTTGCTGCTCCTCCCAGGGTTTCTTGACAAATTACTTTGCAAGTGTGTTTGAGCTTTGTGTGAATGAATCTCACAGAGTAAAGTGAAAGAAGAACAAAGAAAATCTACATGAAATGTTCTCTCTTCTTCCTGTTTGTCCATTGGGAAGTGTGAGGCTTCTATCAAATTGCATCATGAGAAATTCAGAACGTCACTAGTGTATAATATTCTCATCCCAATCATTCAGTTCCATTTCTGCCCCAGGATTTGACTGAACTGTGATTGGAAGTGGGATTATAGTTACACTAATTGAAAATGCTCGCTAAATATTTTCAGTATTCTGACCCTGCATGACATTTGGGGAATTATCTGTAGATTCCTCTCTTCATCTACTGAGCACAGCACTGTGTGAGAAATCCAGGGGCTTCCTGAACAATCTCTTTCTCATGTGCAGGGTTCACTGATCACCCTGACCTGCTCACCTGTGCAGCAGAACAAAGGGGCTTGGAAGGAGAGAGGAGATGGAAGCTAAAGATGGAGATGTGGGGGAGGGATTGGTAATGGAATGGCGAGGGGTTAAAGTGATATGGAAGTGTGACATGAAATCATTTTGCCACATTCTGTTTCACTAGAAATAATTCTGGAGACTCCCACTGAGATTATCCCATTGTAGGTGTGAGAACTGGTGCTATGTCTTTATTCATTCATATCATGGTCATGTCATCATACCATATTCTTGTTCATTTCTGTGGCTTTAATATATTAATAAATGACCAAAATTAAGACCTCTATGTTTATTTATTGTTTTAGCAATCTTGGACCTTTTGGTATTCAAGTACATTCTCTACGTTTTAGTGTTAATATAGCTAACCATTTCTGAAAATAATACCAGGGTAGTCTTATAAGAAATAAGGAAGTATATTTACAGACTATTAAATCCATCTGTTCTGTCTTCCCATGGATACCTCTGACTGTCTGTAGTCAGGACAATCCCAAATGGTTTCCACTGCTGTAATTGTAATATACTGTGAGATCACCTCTAGGTTTGATCCTCTTAGTATTTTTTGGCTCTGTGCTGTTCCTTCGTACTTTCAGGATTGCTTTCTGTAAGATACACAAATAGGATTGTGATGAGAATTGCTTGAAGTTTTAGAGAAGACAGACCTCCTTCTAGGTTGTCTTTTCGTGTTTGAAAAGACCATGAAGCAATGTGCCAATTTTCACATGTTTTCTGGATTCTCCTGTTTTCTGTCTGCTGGGAATTCCAGTTTTGTGAGATGTACTCATGTAGATCAAGGACTTTCTATCTAATGGACCATTTTGTCATTTGCTATTACTCTTTATTCTGTATTTTGATAGTTTTTTCTGTCACTGGTGTAATTATGATCATTAGTTTCCCGCTGTCCATAGTCATGGCATTTTTAATATTCCTTCTTTCACAGTATTTTGTATCTTTAGATGTGAAATGCCTTTTACATAGAAAATACATATATTTTGAATATCAGATGTCGTTTTTCTTTTCTTGAATTCTGTATATCTTTGGGTTAGATTAAAAATAAATGGAATGCTATCCTTTTACATTTCAAGAGATTACTGAACCATGCCCATGCACTAGTTATTGTTTAGGAACTTGAGTGTAGACACTGACTAGAGAGAATTGGAATTGGAATCTCTATTTGCATAATCTTATGAACTATGCTGTAGATTTTTTATATTATGTACATATTGGCTATTAAAACTGCTGTGTACACACACACACACACACACTCACACACTCACACACTCACCCAGGCCTGTAATCTCAGCAACCTGGGAAACAGAGTCAAGAGTAACCAGATTCAAGGTCACCCTGGGCAATTGAGTAAAGCCTTGTCCCGGAATAAAAAGGGAAATGGGGCAGGGAGCTAGGGCTGTAACTCACTGATGAGAGCTTGCCTAACATATGCAAACCTCAGGGTTCAGTCTTCAGCACCATGTAAGTATAATGGGCAAGGCTAGAGAATGCTGCTTAGGGATTACACAGTTGGGAGGGCAGAACTATTGAGACATTTTAAAAAGGGATTATAATGTAATGCAGGATATGATCCCTTTGAAAAGCGTGGAAGTGGAGACTGGAGAGGCCATTAAGTCACTGGCCAAGTTTTCTTTCTTGATCCGGGTAGTAATACTTGCTTTATAATAACTCATGGAGTATATAATATACACTTGATTTGTGTGTGTTCCTCCTTGATTTATTTTAAAATTAAAAGGCTTAATTAAAACAAACTGCTATTGAGCATGGCCTGTTCAATCCATTTGCTTATTAATTGTATTCTTATTTCCTTCCTTTGTAAGTTTTTTTTATAAACTGTGAGTTTTTATCCATTGTAGTATAAATACATAACCAATAAATGTATCTGCTGCATAGGCTGTCTCTTTATAGTTTTAATTGTATTTTCCTGGACTTTTTTTTCCCACATTACTATTTGTCAGTTCCTGCCATTGTATCAAGTATTGCTCCTTTGTGTTGCTCTGAAGAAGTCACGGTTTGAGATCATACATGAAGGTCTGTGATTCAATGTGTGGTAGGAGAGAGATGAACCCAGGTTCATGTTTTTATATGTGGATAGGTACTTTTCCCAATACCACTGTTTGAAGAGGCTGTCTCATCTACAACACGTTTGCGTTATTTTAGTGGTATTCACCTGGTCACACGTTTGTGTTATTTCAGTGGTATTTACCTGGTCACATGTTTGTGTTATTTCAGTGGTATTCACCTGGTCACATGTTTGTGTTATTTCAGTGGTATTCACCTGGTCACACGTTTGTGTTATTTCAATGGTATTCACCTGGTCACATGTTTGTGTTATTTCAGTGGTATTTACCTGGTCACATGTTTGTGTTATTTCAGTGGTATTCACCTGGTCACATGTTTGTGTTATTTCAGTGGTATTCACCTGGTCACCCGTTTGTGTTATTTCAATGGTATTCACCTGCTCATTTGCTATTGGGCAGGTTCTGGTTCTGCTGCTGTATTGCATTGCTGTGATCTGGAATCACACTGGGATAGCTCAAGCATTACAACGTTTTCCTGGGGCTGTTCTGGGCACAGGGAATTTGTGTCAACATAAATTCTACATTTCTCTTTACTATTTCTCTGAAGGTTATTGTGGGACACTTAAATGTCATTTGAACTGATGATATAAACCACTTTCAGAAATACTACAGATTTCAAAATACTGTGTTCCATTCCAACTGTGTGAAATGTCTTCCCATGTTCTATTTAGCTTAAGGATTTTAAATTTTATTCTCCTAATTTTTATTTACTATTCACATTTTTGTTAAAGTATCTCTAAAAGAACAACAGATGCTCTGAAACATTGAGCCATCTCTCTAGCCCCCTGATAAGTTTTATTATGTAAGTAACAGTAGTAAATATTATAAATTTTTTATCTACATGGTCCAAAATTTTTGACTTTACATAGGCATTATTGTTTCTTAATAACTTGCTCTTTCATTGCTGTTGTATATTTGTGTGTATTCCTAAACATAAAAATACAACCTACTCAGTCTGTATGTTTTCAGGGATGAACATTTGGCATTGGATAACCATAAGATGCACTCTTCTCTGGTAAAGACTATTTCTCTAGCTCTCAGGATTCCTTAGTGTTTGACTAGGGTTGAGGCCTAATGAGTTTCTGTGTTAGTGTGACTCTTGGTGTTGTCTTTGTTCATCTCAAGTTTAGGCAACCATGTTTGTAAGATTTCATGCATGCTGCTTCTCTGACACAATCTCACAGCAAGCATCCTGTTCCTCTGGCTCCTACACTATTCCTGCCCCTTTCTCAGTGATCCCTGAGCTGAGGTGAAGGAGTTGTGTTGTTTGTGTGTCAGTGGGACTGAGCATCTCAAGTCTACATTTTGACTGATTATACTTTTCTGTGATAATCTCCATGTGTTACATAAAGAACTTTCATAGATGAAGGGTGAGGACTACATTTATCTGTGGGAATAGGGAAAATATCTAGAATACAGTTAGGGATTATACTGATTTAGTAAAATAGTGGTTGTAGGTTCTTCTCCAAGATCCCTGACTTCACTAGCCCTAGGGAAACTGGCTAGCTTTCCAGGAGCAGGCATGATCTGCCACTTGTTGAGAGGGTCTTAATCCACTTAGAAGCTGTTGGTCACCGCCACAATATGTGTGCCACTCTTGCACCCTTAGGGCTGTCATTTTTGTGGCTCATGGGTGTCATAAAGGGGTAGGACTGTTGGCTGGCTCCCTCTGGAAGCTCGAATGTTTCCTTCTTGTACCATAAGCTAATTTTCAGGAAGAACATTTTAAGTTCTGATCCATCAGAGTCTTCCTGCTTTTGTGACCGAAGTATGTGGTTTCTTCAACAATAGGGAACTCACTTTTTATGTCTGGGAGTCCACCATGGGCAACAGAAATAGCCTATAATATTTTGGGAGTCTCTTGAACAACAGCAACAAATTCAAAGCAGCCTTCTCATGCCTTGTGTGGGTGGTTTTGTAAGAAAGAAAATTTTTGGTTCTTGGGGGGAGCATTATCAGTTTTATCATTTATATTCTACATATAAATGCATATTCAGGCGTATGTACTATAAGCATTTTTCATAGATGGATAATATTGAAGGAATAGATGGATTCCTTATGACTGTTTAGCATCCTTACCCTCCTTCTTAAGTGTTTATATCTGTCCCTTCTCCATAACTAAATCCCTCTGTGTTTTTCCATTTCCCCTTGAGATCACTTGCACCCTGTTACTCCCATCTGTATTAATTCCCCACACCCCACAGTGCTGTCTTGTTACTTTTCTGGTTACTGCAGTCACTACAGGTTGTGTACTCACATCTGAAGATTTGGAGCTAGGAACTTCCAATGAGAGAGAACATGTATGGTCTGCCGTACTGGATCTGGGTTACCTCACTTAATATGACCTTTTCTAAGTCCACCTGCAAAGCTCATGATTTCAATGTTCTTTACAGGTAAATAATATTTAGTATATACAGGCCACATTTTCACTATCCATTTGTCAGTTGAAGACAGAGTTTCTTTCCAGCTAGGTCCAGCAGTCCTTTAGTTCCAAATAAACATACTTAGGCTTATATTAATTATAAACTGTTTGGCCAATGGCTAAGGCTTCTTATTGGCTAGTTCTCTCATAGTTATTAACCCATTTCTACTAAACTATATATTGCCACTTGACTGTGGCTTACCTGTAATAGTACGGCATGTTACTCCTTCCGCTCTGGTGACAGCGTCCCTGTCTTTCCTCTTCCCATAATTCTCCTAGTCTGGTAGCCCTGCCTATACTTCCTGCCTGGCTACTGGCCAATCAGTATTTATTCATCAACCAATGAGAAGGAAGTACATCCTCCATCAGACAATTAGATTGTTTACCTTTTGTAGCTATTGTGAGTAGAGCATCAATGAACATGAACGAACAAGTATCTGTGAATTGAATTCTTTGAGCATATGCCAAGAGTGGAACAGCTGGGTCATAAGCTATATATATTTAATTGAGGATTATCTATATTGGCTCTTAGAGTGGCTAGATATTTGTTGATGGGGCTTTTATTCCCTAGGATTTTGTTTTTGATGTCATTGTTGTTTGGATTATTGTATTTTTCTTCCTTCTCTGTGGATTTAGTGATTTGCTATCTTGCCCATGGATGATTACTTCTCATTTCTACTGTATCAGTCCTTCACATGAAATTTATTTTTTCCCATGTTCTCATGGATGACTCCTCAAATTTTCTTGTATCTATTTTGCCTTCGATACATTGTTTGCTGTCCTGCTTTGTTGAAATGAATTGTTTTACTTCATAAATATCTTGAATTGCATTTACATCTCTATCGGTTTTAATAATAGAATTTTTCTGGATGAAACCATATGGTTGATAGTGATTTTTTTTCTCTAAGCTTCAAATGTCATTCTATGGTCTTCTGGCTTTGGCATCACTGACAATACACCTGGTGTATTCTGTTGCTTGGATCTTTTCATGTGGTTTGACATTTTTCTTTAAGCTTTCAGTAACTTTCGCTTTTTCCTTTTGACTCCTTTATTTGATAGGGAAGCAAGCTATCTATTCATTGTTCCTGAAAGAGAAACTCAAAAGAAGAGAAGCAGAAAGAAATGGCTGATTCTCCAGTAAACATGTCCCAGGTCAGTGGTCATGTCCACTCTTTTTCTAGAAATGTTATATATTCTGACATTTCAAGCTTTTAATTTTCTGCTTCTGATATTTTTTTAAACATTACAAAAACATTCAAACAACATCACATCCTGCAATTAACCAGCCCTAAAGAGTATGCCATACAATGTACTTCTCTGCAGTTAGAGTAGTCATAGGGAAAAGAAGCTCTGGAGCATCACATAGCATCTCATATTTTCACTATCAAATATCTTTATGAACTTGTCTACTACAAAAAAGAAAAAGTGACAGAAAACTAGAAAAGCACTTAGCTTGTATACTTACTCATAACTTGTGTTCATTACCTGCATGCAGTCCTACCTCAAAACTGATATTTAACCTTTCTTGTTCTCTTTCTGTCCATATTCTGCTGTGACCTCATGTACATTGTTTCCATATACACCGATTGTTGACTGGATTCTACAAACGAGGGAAAATGTGGTTTCTTCTTTCTAACACTGTATAATCTCACTCAGTATTACATATTTCAAGTCATTTCATTTTTCAACTGTTGCTAGACAGTTTGCTTACTTACAAAACTTTGCTACGATGAATAATGGAACAATGAACCCAACGTGTAACTATCCCTGTATTGGGGTATGCAGTTCTTTGGTTATATCTCAGGAGTGACATTTCTGGGTCATATATTAGCTCTATCTCCAATTTTTTTCAATAATCTCCAATCTGATTTCCACAATGACTATATTTATTTACACTCCCCCTCACGTACCAACAGTTAATGACAGTTCTTTTTCTCTCCACATCCTCTCTAACATTTGTTGTCAGGTTAGTTGATGACAGCCATTCTTCCTGGGGTGAGGCAGTGTTTCAAAGAATTTTTAGTTTGTGTTTCCATGATGGTGTTTTAGGGATCCTGAAGACTTGAAATATTTATTGGTTATTTGTGTTTCTGTCTTTAAAAAGTGTCTGTTCAGGTCATTAGCACACTTGTTGATTGGCAATTTTATTTCATTGGTGTAATTCTCTGTAAATTCTAGATATGAGCCCCTATCCAAATGTTGCTGGTACAAATTCTCTACCATTCAACACAACATAAGTACTAAAAGGGACACACACATTGGGACTACAGAATTCAGACATAGTAGCTCAGATTTTCTTCTGAGCCATTCTTCTGTGCTATATTTTATTTGCAAAGCACTGAAAGTGAGTATAATTCTCACAGAATTTAATATATTCATTTACTCACAGGAAATCTATGTCACTTCTGAATGTATCTACAGTTACTGCACTTACATGTACATGCCTAGCTGCAAGTTAAAACACTATTTGATGTGGTTTTTAGATTTTCCTCAATTTTTATAACTCTTATAGAGTGAGATTTTCTTCAGAACTTCTGAAATTGTTATTTATCTAAGTTGCCTTATGCCTATTTTTTAGTAAAATTTTAGATTATATCAAATGTGGTTGGTGCAGATTTTTCTATCTACTTGCTTGGGACTCAAATATCCTTATAAAATTAATCCTATAGACTACTTCATCTAATATGTTAGTGTTTAAAATGACAGTTCCAAAAAAAAAAAAAAAGCGCACGTCTTTAATCCCAGCACTCGGGAGGCGGAGGCAGGCAGATCTCTGTGAGTTCGAGGCCGGGCTGGACCGACAGCCTCCAAAACAATACAGAGAAACTCTGTCTCATAAAACCAAAATAAATAAATAAAATGACAGTATACAGAAAAGGCCAAAATTCTTTGCCTATAAATCGAGGCATGAATTCCACCTTCCTTGTCTACAACTTTCTTTTTAATGGAATGGCACTGGACCTAGAGTTTAAACATACGAACTGAGCATGTTAGAATACAATCATCTAAGGCCGAAGAATGCCCAGAATTGATTAAGTGTGTCAATGTTTTGTGTGATCTACAGGTACAGCACTTAAAGTGACATGTATTCTGTGATCCTGTAGGACATAAACACAGCAGTCATACCAGATACATAACTGTGTCTAGACCTTAAATGTCTGTTGTTTTGTGTATGTTGTGTTATCCTGTTTTCACAGAGGTAGAAAATCCACTTTACAATGTGACTACATTAGAAATCTTTTTTTCTTTCTTTCTTTCTTTCTTTCTTTCTTTCTTTTTTTTTTTTTTTTGACTATTTGTCTTCATTCATCTACAATCTACAACCTAATTTCCTCAAGTCTCCTTGTATCAACTAAAGCACTCTTCCTGGGATCATGTTGTCAAATTATACTTTTTTGTTTCAGGGTCTGCTGACATTCAGGGATGTGACTGTGGACTTCCCCCAGGAGGAGTGGGAATGTCTGGACTCTGCTCAGAGGGCTTTGTACATCGATGTGATGTTGGAGAATTACAGCAACCTGGTCTCTGTGGGTAAGAACATTTTACTTCTAGAATTCCTAACTCATCCTTTGTATGTACTAGCATTGTAAGTTGTAAAGTCTCTGTTAAGCTGTTAAGCAACAGGAGACTAGGGAAGGTTGGGAGTAGAAAAGAATGATTTCATACAATTTAATTTTTTCTTTCCACTTTCCATGTTAGAGGTATCATGTACTACTCATTTTGGTCCCACAACTCATTCAGATACTTAGTATTGTATAGTAGTTACACCCATGCTTTAGAGCTCCATGTCCATCTTTGTACCTAACATGGTTTTATTTCAGAGAAAAAACTTGATATAAAAACTTAAAATTCTCCCTAAATATGCTGAAGATTCTGAGAGAAAATAGCAATTTAGAAGTCATTCCTAGATTACTCTACTGTGGTTTCCTTCATGTACTGAGCACAGGATTGTGTTAGACTTATGTACTAAATTCTAACACGGGTCATGAGTTACCTCACAGAACACTTGGATTATTGTATGCAAGGTAGGCCTGGTCACCTGTCTGTAGAGAATGAGATTGCCCTGGAATGTGGAGAAGACAGAGTAGCCACAACCAGGGTGGGCTGATGAATGAGCAGAACAATACTGATGGCTTCAAGTGAAAGAGAAAACAAGAGCAGAGGATGGTTTTGTGATGTTCAATTCCACTTGAAAGGATTCCTGATCATTTAACTTAGTGTAGTGTCTTGGTCCCAGTGTGCATCCTGTCTGTTGTAATAGCTGTTAGAAGACGTTGTGTCTTATTACACCTGAATTGTGATGACTTAATACTAGTGCAAAATGCAATTTTATTTGACTATGCTAACATCAGATCAGAATAATTTTACAAACTTAAAGTCTAACGTGAGTCCATGAAGTAGGATAATTCTTTAACTGCCTTCCTTTCTATGTGTCTTCATATTACATCCTTCATTTTCTTCCCAGTGAAGAATACACAGACACCCTTCTAGAAAATAGTCTCAGGAGTCAGTGTACAGAGAAAACTTGAGAATGACCCTATGAGTTAATAAGAAACACAGCAGTGTGTGGAACTCAGACAGTGGAGGATCGGAATATACAATCACTGCCCATTGCAACCATGCCTCAAATGATTTAGAGCCTCTGATGTCTGGCAGAATACTGTGTTTGTATCCATTACTTTCGAACAATCTAATGTGTTTCTCCAGATAGAAAAATAAACCCTGTGATGCTTTTAAGTAAGTCTTTAATCTTTAGAGGAATTGGATCTTCTGAAAAGTGTTCTTCATTGCCTCTCACTTAGTAAGTAAAAGCACTATGAACCTGGGATTGGATTAAACTTTTCTTCATCAATTTTTAGAAGAAATATTTAAAAATAGAGACATGTTTTCTAAATATAATCAGTCAGTGAGTTCCATCCCAAACCTAATTATTGATTCCTCAATTATTTGATCCATCTTGTACCATTAGACATTTTTGATAAGGATGAGATATCTATTATATTAGACACCCTTCAAGGCTATCAGCTGTTTTTATGAGAATACATAAAATTTCAGTGAAAGAAAAAATATCTAAGTTGTTGCTGGTTCGTTTATCTTAAGAGAGAGCCTAAGGATATAGTCGTTTATCAAATGTTTAATCTTGGAACAAGTCATATTAATATGACCTTACTCATTTTCAGAGAACTATTGCAAGTGTGATCCTGTCCATCACCACGTGAAGACTGAAAAGGAGTCTTGTCAGTGTGATGAGCTTGACAAAGTGCTTCATGACCCCTCCACATGTGCACTTCATAGAACAAGTGAAACTACAGAAAACTCTAATAACTACACATGCAGTAATCACAGGGATGCCTCTGTTGACTCATCAAACCCAGACAGACATGAAAGCATGCACACCGGAGAAGATCCTTGTCAGTCTAAAGACTGTGAGAAATCTTTAAATCTGTGTTCCAACATTACTCAAGATCAGAGAGTCTACACTGCAAAGAAAGAACACCTGCAGGGAGAGCATGATGACTCTTTGAGCTCTGCATACAGGCTTTTGCAACAACCAATCTACATTGGAGAGAAACCATACCAGTGTGTGAAATGCAGGAAATGTTTCAGTACTGCCTCAAGCCTCTCTGTACATTGGAGAATTCACAGTGGAAAGAAACCCTACAAGTGCAACATTTGTGGCAAATCCTATAACCAATGTGCAAATCTTAGAATACATCAAAGACTTCATACTGGGGAGAACCCTTACAAATGCAGAGAATGTGGAAAGTCATTTCGACAGTCCTCAGCTCTTAAAAGCCATCTGAAAATACATACTGGAGAGAAGCCTTATAAATGTAAGGAATGCAACAAATCCTTTGCCCACCATTCCAGTTTCAGAACACATCAGAAAATCCATACTGCTGAGGAACATTGTAGTTGTCAAGAATGTGGCAAGGTCTTTCATCAGCTTTCACACTTCAGACGACATTATAGACTCCATAGTGGAGAGAAGCCTTACAAATGTAATGACTGTGACAGAGCCTTTGCGCACTATTCATCACTTAAGTGGCATCAGAAAACTCATTCTTTAGAGACATTTTACAAATGTGAAGAATGTGGTAAGTCCTTCCTTGAATTGTCACATCTTAAAAGGCATTATAGAATCCATACTGGTGAAAGGCCTTACAAATGTGAAGTATGTGACAAATCCTTTACTGTGAACTCAACTCTAAAAACACATCAAAAAATTCATACTGGAGAGAAACCATACAAATGTAAGGAATGTGACAAGTCCTTTACCAAGTGCTCACATCTTAGAAGACATCAGAGTGTTCATGCTGCCGAGAAACCTTACAGATGTAAGGAATGTGGCAAATCTTTTCCTGAGTGCTCCACTCTTAGAGAACATCAGAGAGTTCATACTGGAGAGAAACCTTACAAATGTGGTATATGTGACAAATCCTTCATCCAGCAATCAAATCTCAGAACACATCAGCGAGTTCATACTGGAGAGAAACCTTACAGTTGTAAGGAATGTGGCAAATCTTTAACTACACTCTCAACCCTTAGAGCACATCAGAAAATTCATACTGCAGAAAAACCTTACAAATGTATGGAATGTGACAAATCCTTTACCCATAGCTCACATCTTAGAACGCATCAGAGAGTTCACACTGGAGAGAGACCTTATAGTTGTAAGGACTGTAACAAGTCTTTTACTACGTGCTCGTATCTTAGAGCACATCAGAAAATTCATAGTGGAGAGAAACCCTACAAATGTAAAGACTGTGACATGTCCTTTCTCAGGATTTCTAGTCTTCAAATACATCAGAAAATTCATACTGGAGAGAAACCTTTCAAATGCCAAGACTGTGGCCTATCCTTTAATCAGATATCGAATCTTAGAAGACATCAGAAACTTCATACTGGAGAGAAACCTTACAAATGTCTGGAATGTAACAAATCCTTTGCCCACATGTCAAATCTCAGAACACATCAGAGAATTCATACTGGAGAGAGACCTTACAGTTGTAAGGAATGTAGCAAATCCTTTACTAGGTGCTCCTACCTCAGAGCGCATCAGAAAATTCATACTGGAGAGACACTTCACAAATGTGAAGATTGTGACATGTCCTATATCCACCTTTCCAATCTTAGAAGGCATCAGAGAGTTCACACTACAGAGAAAAATAACTTGTAAATAATGTGACATAGCATTATTTTTGTATTCTCAGCTTATAAATCCCTACAGTATCCATAATAGAAGCATATAGATAAGAAACTTGGGGGCTGGAGGGATGGCAGTGGTTAAGAGTATGGGCTGCTCTCCCAGAGGACTGGGATTCAATTCCCAGCACCCTGATGGCAACTCACACCTGTCTGGAGCTCCTCTTCTAGAGGATCTGATTCCCTCATACAGATACACTTGCAGGCAAACACCAATGTATATAAAATAAAATATTTTTAAAGAACAAAAAACAGGACTTTGATGGTGCAAAATTGTGTATTAAAAAAGATAAACTTGTAAAAAGCCTTTAATGAAATTTTTAAACTTATAAAATGACAGAGTTTACACCAAAATAAAATTCTGCAGTAGTAACTGAATTAAAAAAAAAAAACTGTGTATGGATGCTTTGCCTGCAATGCTTTCTATATAATACATGTTTGCCTGGTGCCTGTGAATGCCAGAAGAGGACATAAGATTCCTGAACTGGAGTTCTAGACAGTTGTAACCTCCCATGTGTGTGCTGGAAACCAAACCCTGGCCCCCTGGAACAGCAACCAATGCTCTTTTCCACTAAACCATGCCTTCAGCCCCTGGAGAAGGTGTAATAAAATCATTTGTCTTGGCCTGGCAGTGGTTGTGGCACGTGCCTTTAATCCCAGCACTGGGGAGGCAGATACAGGTGAATACACGTGAGTTTGGGGCCATCATAGTCTACACAGATAAATACAGGACAGCCAAGGATGTTACATAATGAAATCCTGTCTACAAAAGCAAAACAAGACAAACTGTTTATCTTGTTCAACATTCAAGAATTCATAATAATGCTAGGCTAGGTAGTGCATGACTTTAATCCCAGCACTCAGGAGGCAGAGGCAAGAACATCTCTAGTCTGAGACCATCTTGGTAGTGAGTTCCAGGACTGCCCCATCCCCAGTTAAACATTTAGCACACATTATCCAATGTCCCATTCTTTTATATATAGCACATCTGTTCTACTACCCTCTCATTGTATTATTTACTTGAGTTGCAAAATGCGAGGTTCTCATGTAGTTTCTTGATGGACATCTCATTTGAGTTGGTCTTTCAGTCACCCCCTCTTCCACCAGTGTAATACATATTCGAACCATTCTCTAATTTCTTTTTTTTCCTCTATAGATGCTCTGCAACTTTTAATAAAACCCTGTAAACTGAAATGCAAGGGTACTAGTTGTTAGAAATGTCAGATTGTAGTCCTAAATTTTTTATTAGAAAATCATCTTCAGGCAGGAGAGATTAGGCACCTAGAAGATACATATCAGTTTTCAAAACCTGCATCCTGTAACTCAGCCATCTGCAGCTCCCACTTCAGGATACGGACATTCTTGTCTGACCTCCATGAGCACATGTGCATGCACACACACAGAGATACATATACATAAAAATCAAATTGTTTTAAAAATTATCTCCATCTCCTGATAAATGATAGCCAAAACAAATTTACATTTTGGACTTCACTAACTCACTATATTTTCATTTATTTTGAATATTATTTAAGATGTACATAACCATTTTCTCTTATTGTTTGGGGTTTATTTTAGGTCATCTACACCATAATCTTCAATCACCATACTCTAATTTCTTGACACCTACTACATTCTATTATGCATCCTCTCTTGCCATCTTCTGACTAATGGCCCATTTCTGGCTTCCTGTCTTCTACATATAGTCTTACTAAAACACATAAAACAAAAAGTTTGAAGCTGTGACCCAAATATGAGAGAGAACATGTCAGGCTTGATCTTTGGGTACTAGGTGGCAGCACTCACCATATTTTCTTGTTGCCTATGCTTACATCCAGAGTTCACACTTGTGTTTTTATTTATAGCTAAGTAATATGTCTTTGTAGATGTCTGTCGTATTTTTCATTTACCAATATGTCAAGTTGATGGATATCTGGGGTGATTCCATTTCCTAAATTCTGCCATTAAAACAGCAATGAACATGTTGGGCAAGTACTCATTGGCAAGGTGGCAAGCCCTTAGAGTTCATGCCCAGGAGTGGGTATTGTGTATCAGTTTCCTCTGAGTGTAAACCCCTCCATCTGGGAGAAAACTGCTCAAGACACAGAATATTAAAAAGAGAGATAAGCCGGGCGTTGGTGGCGCACGCCTTTAATCCCAGCACTCGGGAGGCAGAGGCAGGCGGATCTCTGTGAGTTCGAGACCAGCCTGGGCTACCAAGTGAGTTCCAGGACAGCCTCCAAAGCCACAGAGAAACCCTGTCTCGAAAAAAACTAAATAAATAAATAAATAAAATAAAATAAATAAATAAATAAATAAATAAATGAGAGATAAAGGAATGAAATGCTGTATGCGAGGTGATACATTCAGTCCTACAGAGAAGGTCCTGAAACTCAGAAATAGACAATAGCTTCAGTGTGGTGATATTTTGTTTATGATATAACAAATAAAGCTTGCCTGGAGATCAGAGTGCAATGTTAGCCATACTAGTTAGCCATAGAGGCCAGGCAGTGGTGTTACCTTTAATCCTAGCACTCTGGGAGACAGAGGCAGAAAGATCTCTTAGGTCAAGTCCACCCTGAGCTACAGGAAATTAATCAGTCTTAAAGAGAAACAGAGCTCACACAAAGGTGATCCCAGCAGGGGATCCCACACCTTTAATCCCAGCACTAGGGAGGTGGGGACAGGAGAGATATGCCTCGGTGGAGAGAGTAATATAAAGTGGGGGAGAGACTGACTCAGTGCAATGTGAGGAGCAGTGCAGTCAGAAGCAGTCTGAGGACAGGATCAACATTTTGAACTGAGCATTGGTAGAAGTGAGAACTCTCTAGTGGATGACTGCTTTGCTTCTCTGATCTTCACCCTTAACCCCAATATCTGTCTCTGGGTTTTTATTATTAAGACCAGCAAGAATCTGTGAAAAACTTTAGGAAGTCACAGAAACTGGCAAGATTCATTAGTGCCCTGCTGCCTCAAGCATATATAATTGGTAAGGGCTAGTGACACTGTCAGACAGGCTGAGCTGCACAGAAGTTGCTCAAACCAGCCATGAAGCAGACAGCACTCATGCTGCCTGGACCAGACAAGACAGGCTGCCTGGAGGAGGTAGTGAGTGGCTTGAAAGACACTTCCATCCTCCCTTGAGCTGCCTGCAAGCTGTGCAGTGATCCCCAGGTTTCCAGATTCATTAGACATCACCCTCACAGGGTGATGCAGCTGTCACTGAGTCCTGTGTGCTTCTATAAGTAACCCCTCACACACACTCCTGTAAATCACCCCAATAAAACTCACTGATCCAGTTAGCTGTAGAGATGACTCAGTGGTTGAGAGCACTGTCTGCTCTTTCAGAAGACTCACTTTGAATTACCAGCACCCTCACACACACACTCAATCTGTATTGTCAACTCCAGGGCATCCAATGCCCTCTTTCCTCAGAAAGCACCAGGAACACACATGGAACATAGACATACATGCAGAAAAAACATGCCTAAAAGAAAAAGTATAAACCTCATTGGTTGACCAAGTTAGACTTTGTTGTTTCCCAGCTTTGGTTTGTCATTGGTTTCTTACCTGTGACACGTAGATGTCATTGTTTCCACAGGAGCAGAGTCACACATCAGTGCTTGCACCACACTGTATTTGGGGGCGGGACATCTAGAGTACTTATCTAGAATAATTTTAAAAGTTCATTCTCTAGTTCTCACTCCCACAGCAGTGTTTACCTTCTCTCCTCCAAGGCATGCCAACATTAGTTATCATTTCTATTCCTGATGATTGATACTATATCTAGGGCATCAAGAAAGCTTAAAGGAGTCCTAGTCTGCATGTTCCTGATTTGTATATAACTTGTTTCTATGTTTTGGTTTTAGGCTGGGTTTGTAATTGTTTGTTTGTTTTCTTTTAGTTTTGCTTTTTTTTTTACATTTTTAATTTTGAAATTTTATGTTAGAACATTTCTCCTCTTGCTTTCCTCGAAACAAATCCTCCCATATACCATCTCTGCTAATGTTCAACTTTATGGCATCTTTTTCATTAGGTGTATTGCATACATATGTGTCTGTGTATACATATATATTTGTAAATACCTACTCAACCCAAAAGTTACTTGTATGTATGTTTTCAATGCTGATCATTTGGTACCGAATAAGCAGTTAGTATGCTCTTCCCTGGAGAAGACTATTTCTCCTGCTCCCAGCATTCCCCAATTGACTATAGTTCTCTGTGTAGGATTGAGACATAGTGGGCTTTTCCACACCCCTTTGTCATGTCTCTGTGTACCTACAGCTGTCCAAGACTCACTATGTAGAGCTGGCTGACCTGGAACTCAGGGTTCCCCTTGCCCATGCCTCTTGAGTGCTGGGTTAAAAGGCTTGCATGAGAAGGGAGCCACAAGCCTCAGACCTTGGAGCAGCTTCACAGCCCAGAAGCAGCATCAGAGGGAGGTTAGAGCTTCAGGCCAGAGCATCCTCAAGGCAGACACAGAGTATCAGACCCAGAATTGTCAGAAGGAGGTTCAAGCTTCAAGCCCAGGAGCAAGGACTGATCACTGGGTGAAATGACAGCAGCAGTATCCAGTAGTAGCTTCCAGAAGCTATCAAAGTTCCTGTGGGAAAGAGCATCTGTGTCCCAGCCAGCATCCACTTCCATTTCTTGGTTGGAGATAGCCGACTGAACCCTCAGCCCCATCTACACCTCCAACCAGAGGAGCATCCACCTGAACTATAGCCCCACCTGCACCTCAATGAATGACCACTTCCACCAGGAGGAGCTTTAACCAGAAGCTCTGCACTATTTGTGCCTGAAGGAGTCTTCAACGGAGCTACAGCTCCCAACTATACCAATTGGAGAAAGAGAGAACACCTGAAGCACAAGCTTCACCCGTACCAATTAGATGAAGAGATGCATAGACAAGTTAAGAACACACTCAACAATATAAAGAGCAATACGGCATCACTAGAAACGAGTGGTGCTACAGCAAGAACTAAACATCCCAACACAGATGAACCAGAAGAAAACAACCCCAAACATAACTTTATGAGGATGATTGAGGCCCTTAAAGGGGAAGTGAAAAAAATCTCTAAAGAAATGGAGGAAAAGACACAAAAAAATTGAAAGATACGAACAAATCCCTTAAAGAAAACCAATAAAAAGCAATCAAACAAATGAAGGAAACAATTCAAGACATGAAGTATGAAATAGAGACAATAAAGAAAACATAAGCCTAGGGAATTCTGGAAATGGGAAATTTGGGTAAAAGGTCAGGAAAACAAATGCAGAATATAAGAGATGGAAGAGAGAATTTCAGGCATTGAAGGTAATTTGGAGGAAATAGATTCATCGCAGTCAAAGAAAATTTTAAACCCAATAAATCCTTAACACAAAATATGTAGGAAATCTGGGACACCATGAAAATACTGAATGTAAGAATAATAGGGATAGAAGAAGGAGAAGAAGTCCAACTCAAAGGCACAGAAAATATATTCAATAAAATCATTGAAGAAAACTTCCCCATACTAAATAAGGACATGCCTATGGAGACACAAGAGGCTTACAGAACACCAAATAGACATGACCAAAGAAAACAAAAGTCCCCTCAATACATAATAATCAAAAAATAAACACACAGAATAA